GCTGACGTGTCGTCTTCTATTTGCATTTTCTTACCACAACACCAAAAGGGTTCTGGCTTAGGTACGATAACTTTAGGTCTTAGACAAATTATGCAAAAGTCGTTAACGAACTTCTTACATTCGTGCATCGTATATTTATAAGATATTTTAACCTCCGTTTGCGGTAGCAGCAGTAAGGACACACCGCGGGAAATCCCGTAAATCTGCTGTACCCGCCTTCGTAATTCCGCGGATTAAACCCGCAAATATACGGCATCGATCGCGAGTCCCCCTTACTGCTGCTCAAACGGCCCGAAACGTTTTTAGCAGAATGTTGGCACGTAGTGTCGTCAAATACTGGGAGTGACAAACGAACCCAACATTTATGGAACATCAAAATTCAAATCCCAATGTTGTTGGCAGACATGACTAGCGGTACCAGCTCTGTTGTTTGACCCAACAAAGGTTGGGTTGAATGTTAGTCTGTTTGTCAGTGAACTTAAAACTAAGATCCTCGGATTCGCCCTCCGCCTTTGCATGACTGACGCCGATAATGACTGGAATTTCATTGCCTGTGGTTTGCAATTTAGCAAACTTTTTCAAACCTTTACGGAATGCAAGCATTACAGACGTCATGAAGGCCTGCAATTTGAAAACACTGATTGTCTGATGTTCCAGTTATTTCAAACAAGCTATTAAAGCAAGTACGATGAGCCAAGCGTCTTACCCTTTCACTAAAAGCCAGACCTACTTTACAAAACTACTGACGATTCATGCTTGTTCTAAGCCGTAAGCATTTGTAGTTGATACAAATGAAAAGTATTTTCGTCCTGTGCTCATAGGTCGGTGAGTAGAAATGATTTTATATCCATTTGTTTAAATACCGTGTATTGAGATTTACATTTTGATTTTTCATCGAATAGAAATCTGGTTGTCTGACATTTTAACAATAATAATCTTGATAGAGTGAAATGACAACACGATAGTGGAATTAGGGTCTAGGATCGGTGAGTAAAAATGATTTTATATCCATTTGCTTAAATACCGTGTATTGAGATTTTACGTTGTAATTTTTCATCGAATAGGAATCTGGTTGTCTGTCATTTTAACAATAATTATCTTGATAGAGCGAAATGACAACACGATAGTGGAATTGGGGTCTACTAATTTGTATTTCACGGGTTTATGAAAACCACTCTAGCCTTCAAGTTTTGATAACCTAGCCGCTTTAATTTTGTTGCTTAGTTATCATTTTCCTGTATTTTAAAATTATTTTAATCTAATAAATGTAACCAAATTCAACTTCATGAAACATTATATATGCTAATGAAACAAAACAAAATGATACAAAATTTGATTTGGCAAGTATGTTTTTTATTATCAATCACATTTAATTAGTACACATTACTTATTTGTCCTTTTTTGTGCAAAGATTTAAATGTATGTCTACGCTTTTGCATTATGATGTATATGTCTAAGTAGCATACAAAGCCCCACTTATTTATAGCTCACCATCTTGCGGAGCACTTTTTAAGGGGGGAGAGGGGGTAATCACTGTTTTTTTCCATAACGATCTCTCAAACTAAGACAGCCCCAGAAGGTTCGCCATCCCTGTCTTGACTATTGCACTGATCTCCAACCAGCCCTTATAAAATTTATTTATTTATAAGTCAAAGTAGGCATCCAGGGTGTGGGTAGGCGTCGCGTATAAAGTCAAATTTACGTTAACAAAGTAAATTTTTTGATTGTCCTGGTAATTAAACCTGGATTAGCGTTAATCGGAAGAGTTACATTAAAAAAGTCACGTACAGTATTATATGTAAATGTTAAATACTTACAAGCATAGTCTCTTAGATTATCGACCCTGGCTATTTTTTCAGGTGCTTTGTTCTCCTCTGGATTTGAAGGAGTGACTTTAATAATCAAATACATGCCTTGTTGTACATGATATGAATTACTTCAAGCGGCCCCAACTTCTTACCCCTTTGCGAGCTGTATGACTAAATAATCGATTTTCCGCTTCTTTTAGGGAGTTTTCGCCTGTGGAATTGCAGCATTTTTTATTAGCACGTTTTATATCTTGATTTTCTCTCTTCTGATGCTTCATGTTACAGACCACTAAACCTTGTTTCCTTTCAACAGGTTTCAGAATTCTTCTAGAAATTAGCTGGAACAATCACCTTGGACAGTCGAGTCGAGTCAGGTGAAGGGTAATAAGATAAGTGAGCCTTGAACTTGGTGACCAACGGAGTGCAATTTTAAATCATAACACAAGAACAATTGAATAAAAATGAATGAGAATCGTGAAAATGATAGTATTTCAGTATTTTCATCTCGGTTCAGGATTACTAATTCTAGTGGAAGGATCTAGGAGGTAGCAAACACGCAATGATGGATCCAATAGTGGGAAGCCTATGGAACCATGCTGTGCTATATGTGGCACTTGACTTATTTTGTTAGAGCATTGTGAGAACAAAATATAAAACATCGTGCTTTCAATATTAAAGCCCCGTTTACGCTGGCCGGGCTGCAATTCGTGGCAATTTTTGGAAATATGAAATCTTTAGTCTCATCCTTCAAAAGAGACATTCGTCTAGGAAAATCTTGGTATCCTGAAAAAAAACTTTACAAGTAAATTCTTTACCATTATTTATTATGGACCAAATCGCAAAAAAAAATCGCCGCAAAAATCGCTAGTGTAAACGGGGCTTTATTTTCAGTTATTCAGCACCATGGAAATACAAATTTAAATAAAAAAGAAAATTCGCGAAGCATTTTGGTAGTGGTAGTAAAATGACGCCATCACGTAAACGGCATATTTTCGAGAGATCGAGTACAATATACCCAATATTTGACATACCCATAAATACCCTCTATTAGAAAATCTATTTTGACGGCCTTCRGATCGATGCAAACTAAAACAAACACCAAGACAACGTACATTCATAAAAGCATTGTATTTTAATCTATACTTTATGTACATAATATATTTGTGTATGCACAGTTTTTATTTACAATATTTACTCATTTATGCCCTGCAAGATTACAAGCTAATTCGTTATCAACACTGCACTTTTATATGGACAAACCACTTTTATATGGACAAACCTCGGTTACATTTCATGATTAATATGAATCAGCTAGTGTGCACTAGGACAATTATATCGCTCAATGGATCAAAGGAAAGAATGACGCCAAGCGGCTGGCTGTAGCTCGACCTGAGACTGACTGAGGAGGACTGAAAAAAAAAGACCAACCTTTTTAGGTTTTTTTCACGTCACAGACTCTCTTACTCCGAAGATTTTTGATTACAGAGGTTATGTCCAGATATTCACATTCTCTCCTTACTAACTGATAATAATAATTGTTATTATATGTTATTTAGTCTCAATAGGCATGGCTTATTTTAATTAGTTCTCAAATTAGTCTTAATTAGTTTATCTACTGATCAATTAACTCAAAGAACAAAAACTTCAAGTCTGCATAAAGCAATATGGGGCTTTGTGATGAACTGAGCAGCGCACCTCCGAAATGCTTCGCACTTTAGTGTCCCCTTACCATAAGTCGATGAGTTTTTTTTAATAGTATGAATTAGCCTAAAGGTATAGCGTACATATTAATTTGAAATCATTCATATCATCATGAAACCACATGCACTGGGGCTTCTAATTTGCTCAGCTTTTTAAAGTCAATAATTTATTAAAGTAACGAATGGGATGACTTTACGTCAATCTCATAATCCATACTATATTAATTTGTAGTAATTTACCGCCGTATTAGAACAGCATCGGTTGTTCGTGTTCAGTTGATTTGCACTCGGTCAGCGGGATACAAATGTCGGGTCCATTGACCGTCTTCACTTGTGTGTGCTCACGAGACCTTGGTTTGTCGAGGAATACAGACGTCTTCCGTTGTAATGCGGCCATAAAGAATAAATTTCTATTATAAATCCTTATCTTATTATGTTTGGACGAACGTTCCTGACCAGTGTCCCATTCCAAAAAAAGAACTCAAAGTAACTTGATTCTGACTTTGATAACATCAGAATTATATATTATGTTGATAATCAATAAGATCCCATCAGCAAGGTCGACAAGCACATCTAAGGGCTATTGGGTAGCGAAGGACAATCGGTTTTCCTTTACATGTTGCTCTGTAGGTTTTTGAGATTGCCTTGAGAGGCGCACAACATGAGCAGCTTGAAGCAAATCCAGTTTTGCTCAGAAGGGGCTGGACGGACGATAAACATTGGCCGTGACATCCTTTACTTAAAATTTTGATATGGCAGCCATTACGTATAACCTGGATATAACCCGGTCTAACGCTGCATTCAAAATGTCTACGGTATCCTCTAAAGTATCGTCTGGGCTCCACTATTTGTACGCTTATGAGGAAAAAGAGGATCACGCATGTTGTTCTTGTTCCAAGCATCTTTAGTCACCTGCAAAATACGAAACGCGTCAGACATAAAACTGTCTAAGATTCTCCATTCTTTAGCACTGTGTTTGTAAAGATGTAATTCTAGATTATTATACTATAATAAGTATGCAGTTATATATTGAATACGACATTAAAACGATACAATTGTTACAATAATATTTGTTTTACTAACATTGAAATTTGTCAAATGAGTTTTCATTGTTTACGAACGATTTGTCATTAATAAAAAAGATGGTTTTGCTGTCAATCGTAGCATAATCTTCAATAAAATTTTACTATACTATCTTGAAAGAACAACTATTCAACCAAGTAAAACCAATCCGCACAGAAACTAAAGATTTATCTTACCAGAAAATTTTAATCGAATATTCATTAACGCTTGTACTGTTCCACTCACAGTTTCATTCACATAACGTAGTCTGGTCTAATGTTTAAGACCTCCAATGTCATCGTACATATAGGACGAAATTTGTTTGTTAAAATTGGTGGCTTTTGTTCGCATCAAAACTCGAACCTTTGTAAAACGTGTCGCGTTAATTATATAGCTAAAAACCCGCAGCCAATTTATTTCACTCTCTGGTATAAGCAAACCAAGGTGAAAACAAACTCGTTTCGGTTAAAGTCAGTTCTCGTGAGTAACTACGCGAATGTTTAGTTGTCACGCATGGTCTGACTGCAAAGTTCCTTTGACATAATTACAAATCATAAGCAAATGCAATTGTCCCCTATGAGTGAAGTATTTAGACCGTTGTTAAGACAACTTGACATTTCTTTTTGTCTTGCTCTTTGATTGTTTTCAATGACATTATCAAAACAATTAGCTTTTCCTTTGTGTAAGTGATTTCGTTGAGGTAAGTTCCGGCCACAGTAAACGCGATACGTAACGAAATTTCCAAATGAGTGCAGTTTCTTTGACCATAAGATGTTGCGTGTTGTTTTGAGTTCCGACTGAGGTTGACTAAGGGGTGCTAATGCACTGATCCAGGCAAATGGTTTTAGTTGCAAGTCCATATTTATCGATGACTCATCAGGGTGGGAAGAGGAAGAGTGATTTTTTTTTTCCTTTTGGCAACTTGTCTTGTACTTGTAAACTTTAAGAATAAAAACTAAAGGCCTTGTTACTGTAGTTCTACTCTAACCGTGAAGACATACTCGAGTTTGTCAACCAATCAGATAATTACTAATCGGAAATATCAGAATTCGAGTTTCATGTATTGAAAGTCTATAAAAGCTATTCAAGGAGATGAAATGATGAAAGAGAAAGGAAAATAAATAAAAGTGTATTTTACACAAAAAATATGGAATAAAATAAACTCGAGTAGTGTTCACGGCTAGAGCAGAACGACAGTAATGCCTGTTTACAAGGGTAATATTTGCAGCGATATGATTTGCGAGTATCGCTGATTTTGGTCATAATCAAGAAAGGTAACGGATTTTAAAACCTAGCTCTAAAGTTTCATTCTGAACACCAAGATTTCCTGGACATATGTCTCTTTAGAAGGATAAGACAAAATTTCTAATATTTTAAAAACTAGCCGCCACAATTGCACCTCAAATCGCCCGTGTAAACAGGCTTTTACAAGGTGAAAACTCAGTGAAACTTGCTAGACAGGTTTCACGGGGTTATTACGGAAATGCGCTGTGTAACACCCCCGTGAATCTTGTCTCGCAACGCTGTTGTACACGAGATTCAGTTAAAAGTTTCAACGCGTAACAGGGCCTTCATTATAAGGAAAAGAATAATTGAAAGAGTTCACACCCTCTTGCCCATCCACCTTGAGTGAGGTAACTTTTCCTTCATTTTCTTTATCAATCCGTTAATCTCGAGCGCTCTCATAGGATGATATTTAAACCCTTTGTTTTGTTCACTTGGATCRCCCTAATGATAGAAACACCCTCTTTACGTAAAAGGGTATATGCAGTTTCCAAAATTTGGGGAACGTGTGCACTTCTATACATATTCTTTGAACGTCATGCTTTCTGTATATACACCTATTTCAGAAATCGTTGTCACACCAAAAGCCTAGAGCAACAAGCCAAGACCGCAGAGTACGCCGGTACTTTTAGCTGTAATTAGTTTATTCATGGTGCATTTTCATTTATTGACTTCACGAATTGCTCCAAGCAAGGCTGCTTGAGATGATAATTAGTGGAGAGCTATAGCCACTTGCATGAACCATGAATAAATCATTTATAATTAAAAGTACCGACTTTCTCTGGAGCCTTGTCTTGTTCGTACTTTAGGCTCTTGGTGCGACAACGATTTTCGAAATAGGTGTATATATATAATTGCTTAAGCGACTAAAAATTACGCTTATCCTTGTTAATTTAACCTAAAAACGCATGTTGTGATTAACTGATTTTGTTCAGTTTTGACATATCAGAGCAATTTAATGCTCAATACAGGCACTTCGGATGACATCCTTGGTGTCCGTATAACGGGCATTCGGAGTACAAAATGCTAACAATGCATAGCTGCAGCACACAAATGGGCTTTTTCAAACATGTGCTGCTACCATTTATTTAATTCAAAGTTAGTTTTTCTACGCCAGACGTCTAGAGCACGCTTTATAAGTTGTTTCTTTTATCAGTGCAGTGAATCCGTCATTTTTTTTTTAAAGAATCTCAAAAATAAGCTGTAAATTAGGTTCCGTGGCTGTTAAACTGTTTTCGTTCAGCTTAAACTACAATAAGACAGATTACAAGTCAAACTGCCAATTAGGACTCTAGGTTTTAAAAAGGGTTTGCTTTTATTGTCCCTTAAAATTCATTCCATGATATAACAAATAAATGCAACTAAAGATTTAAAACCGCATTCCACGATGCAAGCATTTTGTAATTGAGGTAATGTTCAATGGCTATATCATGAATCTTGACCTGTGCGTGCAAGTTAATAATCTGATTTATGTACCTTTGATGTGTAACCAAATGATAACACAGGTCCCGTAATGCACCAATAGCGTTTTTCCAAGACGTTTTAAATTGATTCTAGTACTTTGTGTTTTTGCATTTATGTCGTCGGACTACATGTCCAGCCAAGAGTACAGCGGATAAGTAGAACAAGCATCCTTAAACTACCTGTTAATCCATCCTTTCAAAGGTCCCCGGATCAAGGATCGATTCGTACGTGAGCAAGCATAATGATGCGATTGTACGGGAAATAGGTACTATCGGGAGAATGACGTTTCTATGTACCATTCAACACTGCGTCTTGTCTAAAAGGATTTATACCCGAAAAAAGTCGTTAAAACCCTAAAATTTCAGTTAAATAAATAGTTTGATTGATCGAATAAGGATTCGTGCGCAGACTCTAATGATGGAAGTTTTTGCCATGTCGAACAACAATTACATAAGTAACTTCTAAATTTAACGAGGCTCTCAATAGTAGGGCGCTATCATTATTGGCTAATTATAGATTACAAGCAACAATAAAGATTATCAACAATCCATATCAAAAAATGCGATGATATATATAGGTCAATACTGTGCGGGATCTTCAAGTTCAGTCACTTACATCATATTTTTGCGCTTTTATACTAGCTAATAATACTCTCATTGTCATGCAGTACTTTCTTTGAATGCTGTTTGTTTAAAACAATACGTTTGATGTACATTGAAGCAATTATCACTGATAAACAAACAAAACCGCAAGCTGAGCAAGTAGCTGTTTTGCACGAAAACTGTTCTTTCTTACAGATAACATCAAAATGGAACTATTTCACTCGACTAGCTCGTTTTTTAATGCCCGTGATATGAACCGCTTTTTGACATGACACCCATGGAACTGACAATTAAATACAAGCCAACAAGCAAATGTCGTTACAGCTGAGACCCTGGGGACCGTCACTAGTGTCCATAGCGAGCATCCGCAATAACGAGCACAATTAAAATAATCAAAACTTTACGCTTGCAATCTAACATGCTGAGTTTTGCAGAAGCTAATGCAAGTCGACTTTGTCAGTCTTGATAAAGTTATCAGTCACAAATTAACTACAACTACTTCACTGTGGCCTGGAAATCGCCAGCCGTTTTTTTATGAAGCGAAATTGTCATGGAACGACTACTAAATCAAGCTTCGAACGAACGCAAATCAAAGTAACCTTTTTCAAATGAAAGGCTATGCTAGTCACGTGCATGCAATACAAAGTATAAAGACAGCCTATACGTTGAGATCCCTTTGTACAACCCTTCAACCACATACACTGGCAAACAGTCAGTCTGGCCATACATTCTTACCGCGCTCTTCTGTTACGATGTTGAATGTCATAGGACAAAAAAAGACAATAAAAACCCCACAACATAGCATAGCCTTTCATTTGAAAATGTTACTTTGATTTGTGCTCATTCAAAGCTTGATTTAGAAGTCGTTCMATGACAATTTCACTTATCTATAAATTGATTTGAACGCGGCCATATGGCAGCAAAATAAAATCCTTACAAGTGATTTAAAAAAAAGACTAATGAATATAATGACCAACAGTTATAAAAAATATAATGGTTCAAACATGGGTCCAAATAATAGTCCAAGAGTCCAGGGTTCAAGAGTCCAAGAGTCCAGTCCATGTTTTACCCTATGCCGAAAAAAAGATAACATCCTTAAGTTCGTGCCAGTAGGAAACAGGAAGAAGATTAAGCCTTTTTAATCGTAAGTGGTAAGGGAGTTCATAATCCTGAAGAATGAATTTAGTAGCCCTTCTTTGAACTCCTTCGAGGAGAGCAAGATCACGACCAAAGCTTTAAACCTTTGTCAAAACCTTTGATCTTGTTCAATGCTAGTAAATACGTTTAGCTAGTATCATCGATCCGACTGAATAAAGCTTGATGCATATGTGTAGGTGATGTGCGCCGCTAACACACCGATTCTCAACAACGCGATCCGGATTCGAAGTGGGGGGTCAGTGTCGTATGTGACTAGAGTTGATTGTTGTTTATCTCTTGTGCTTCAAGGTTTTTATTTTCTCCGCCAAAAAAAGAAAAAAATTATAATAATAATAACTACGAAATTTGAGCCTCTTTCTCGGAAGACTGAGTAATCACTCTCTGAAATAGACGTAAAATAACTTTCCATTTCGTGTATCTAACCAAATTATGAACCGGTTAATATTTTAAAGTTAGAGTCATGGTTATCGCATAGACAGTAAAAGTCAATATTAGCGTTTACTATTGGTTAAGTAAAGGTATCCCACCCACGTTTTAAAAATAGACCTCCCAGTGGTCGCTAATTTCCAAACAAAATCAAATCAAGAAAAACATTACATTAATCCCACGTTAATCAATTCACGGTAAACCGACAAAATATACAAAGCACTCTTTTTTAATGTGATACAAAAGAAAAAACAATACTTGCTATTCTTTTACTAGTTTCCTGACAAAACCCTTTGAGGTTATAGTTGTTTTTTTAAAGAATAAGTATTAAAATCATAATATTTTTAATTTATTAACCGATCACAGCGTAAGCGAGTCAGTAACTCAGACTTTACGAATATATCGCTAGGCATAAGCATACTTTCATTAAACTTGCTGAGTAATGTTCTGATAATTCATTGAACTTCTTTTAGAAACTAATTGAACTCTCGCATAATTTTTAATCGCTGAAGACATGCATGATGGCGAAAAAGGAACCAGAACTAACCAGTGTTTTCTTAGTTTTTCCTGGAAAAAAATATTTTCTAAAATGCCAGTTTAACCTCTAGACGAAAGATGAATAACAATTTTTCTCAAAAGAATAAGCTATTAGAAAAAAATATGCGAGGCACAGTTCTTATGATAACTGTGTCATTCACAGAGTCTGTTGACCGCAACATTTCAACTCCAAGAGACTCAGCAGTGTATGAATTTTGAAAAAGTGCCAAACCAGGAAATTCCATCTGAAATTTTACTAAAAGTTAAAAAGTTTATAAAAGCTACAATCTCTACACATGCATGAAGAACTTAGTATAAAGATGTATTTACTTACATACCTTGATTGTTAAACTTTAAAGGAGTTTCAAAAGTTCGTTGAATGTACTTTTTCAGCCGGCTTAAGCTATTAAAGTATTTCGCATGGATCATCAACCTCGTGCTAAAATAGGCCTGAGTCATATGGCTGTTACGTGTTCAGTCGCACGAATCAGCACTAGGAAGGGACGAAAGACGTATCGTATTATCCTATGACTTATTAGTGTTCAAATATTGCGGTAGTACTATCATAATAATTTACTAGAATCAATATGCGGAGCTTAAGACGGCAAGGGCATCTTTCTTTAGTGTTTGCTCATGACGTTATATCTAACTGACACGTCTTATTCTATTAAAAAGCAATGACATTAAAATTAGAAATAAAAAGAAACCTTTAGATTTTGACATGGAAGCGCTAATCTACGAATACATTGAATTGCATAATCGATCAGGTTTAGAAGTGTGTGCTATCTTTCATATCCTTTATGCATTTCTTTACTCCTTTGGCTCAGTATGACCCTGGCATTGTCAAGACAAACTAATGTATACACTAGGTTCTCAATCTGTGCGTAGGATGTCTGCACTTCATGTCAAATTCGGCAAATTAGGATATGAAATGTTCTTGCGCGCGTCAAAATTAAAAATAAATATGTACTCAAGGATGAATGAATAGGTGTAGATGAAAGTGTTATGTAGTGAAGTGATGCATTCTGCGTGGTAATGTTTAGATAACTGAATATACCAAAAAGGGTTATACAAAACAAACACTTTACTTACAACAGGGAGGCGTAAAGTGTTTGACTTCACTTCCTATTTCACATCGGTAGAAAAGTGGTGCAGTTTTTGTTCTATAGTGATGGAGATTTCGGAAGAAAGTATCTGGGAAACTAACACTCAGTGATAGCTTAATAAAAGTCGTGAGTAGACTATACTCGTGGGCGAGAAGACTATTGGACGTATTGCTAAACTCCTTATACTTAGGCATTGATTGTTCAGTGCGGGAGATTCTTTTACGATTCGATCTTTGTAACACTGGTACCCTGGGTTCCTGAGGGATTTTTTCTTTCAGATTTAAGTGCTCGCCGCTCTCAGTAAATCCGCAAAAAAAATCCTTTGGAACCCAGGGTAACACACTTGTAGAAAATAGACAAAATCCATACAAAAATAAACTAAACTTGGGGGTGAGCGGACTATTGCCAAACTCCTTATACCATAACATCTTAAAGTTAAAACTGTTCTTGGAGATAACTTGTATTTCTTTGACACGTCGATGGAAAATAGACAAAATATATCTTCCTGTAGTACGGGAATTAGTAAATCGAGATCCCTTTTTTATGGTCCGTACTCTTATCGAACATGGAATGCCGTCAGCATAAGATCCAAACTCAAGTGGAACCACGAGCGACACTAACAGGCTTTTTTTGGGCGTTTTTTAGTGATCAAAACAGCCAACGGAAAGAGCGCACGAAAATTAGTGACGTCAGATTATTTGTCTGTCCTTTTAAAAATAGCCAATCAGAGCGCGCGAGAAATTAACAATTTGTGGTAAAACACCCTTTAGCTGTCCTCGTCTACGTTTCACTTCATTACACCAGACAGAAAGAAAAGTACTCCTGAATTACGCTCTCGACTGCTTTAGAAATCTTGATTTAACTCATGATTCTTCCTTCCTTCCTTTTTTTTTTTTTTTTTAGTGCGGAAGTCATTGTACTGATAAATTTGCTTCACGGAAAAAAATATGAACGTCAAAATTTTTTTGTAGTGCTGTTATAAATGTATTTTTTTCTCGAGGAACACCCATGAAATTGAGGGGAGCTTACTAGTTGTATTAGACTAGTACTGCGGGGGTGGGGATGACGACTGAGGGGGTGAGACCTTAAAACGTAGACTATATTGTTCTTGCCGGCTCCGATTTTCCTAGTAAGAAAATATTGAACGGGTTGTCTCTATATTTTAAATGATATTGCACAATGTTCTTTTATGGTGCTCTAAAAAAACACGCATCAAAAGACTAGGAATGAGTTATAATACTATATATTGTTATTTACTTTTATGATTCGTGGTTCTGATTGGCTGAAATTATATATACCATAAGAGACGGGGAAAAAAATTAAGGTCAATGAATGTGTTGGTTTATAATGAAAACTCTTGTAAATGTTTTATTTTTACTTCAGTTCAAAAAGTTTAAAAAGATGTACTCTTGCTGGTTTTGAAGGCCTAGAAGCTGAATTACTTAAGAACCTCAGTACCAACAGCACTTGGCTCATTCACTCGAGGACTATTAATTTTTATGCTGCTATGCCTGGATCGGGTTATACCTTGTAAGTCTTGTAAACAAGCTGGAAGCTGCGTTAAACAACGAGTTCACTGAGAATGGTTCTCAGTAAGTTATTTTTCATATGATCTGCAATAGTAGTCTACCTCAATAGCAATACTGGCGGATCCAGGATAATCTTAATGGGTCGAGTGTTACTTTGGCTGCTGTATCTATTTTAGTTCTGCTGCTTTTTAAAGGGGTTGGAAATTGAATGTACCTCGAAGGGGAACCTGTGTCCTATTGTGCAGCACCAGCCTACGGGCAAAATCTCAAATAATAAATAAATAAAATTAATCATTCAGCCAAACCCCGATGTCCAAGTGTGCGCATGCGTACTGTGAAGGTTGCCTTTGTCTTCTCGCGTGGTACATGTCAAAAGAATATTCTCTTGACATAGTTTTTTTATAGCTTTCCTAGATGTATCTCTATTTTTCGCTTCGCAAACCCTTTTAAAGTTTTTGACAAGAACATTTTAAAGAGAATTTTAGCTCTGTTCATTAGATTTTTGTGGTATATTACATGTGTTAGATGATACTACTAAAGAGCGAGGAGCGGATCATGACATTTCAATATAGAATTTTCGTCGCCTTCCGATTTCATTTATATCATTCGATGCTTCAGGAAACATTAAACACTATAAATATAAACTCTAAAAATAGCCACAAAAGAAGGACCGCAGACTGAGATTCTAATTTCCGCCAAAAGTTATTTCACTTAAATATAACTTTTCATTTTATGAAGGGACCGAAAAAGCTATCGTTTCTTGTAGTTCCTCAATTAACGATGAAACCGTAAACTGTGCCATTCGAAGAAAAATAATGTCTTCAATTTATCTGAAAAACCAATCGAGTGCTGAACTGACGTTTGAAACTCAATCTAGATACTTTTCAAAGCATAGCATATAGAATGTAAAGTTTTTTTYCCCGTAAAGTTCTTTTTCATTTCTTATCTATTTCCTTTATTTTCCAGTTTTCTTTCACTCAAAAAAAGGCGGCTTAACCAATACTGTATCACACCGTGCTAATATCACAAAGGATATACACTCTGTATCTTTTTCGCATCCTTTATATCGCCCATTACACTTTCCAGCGTACACTTTGAAGCTTCATTTTTACTTTGATAAATATAATTTTCCGAGCCATCTCTTAAGAATGACTTTTTAGTTTACATATTGGCCAGAAATAAAAGTGCTCTTACTTACCTAACAAGTGTAAGTCCTCTAAACCACGAGAACCACCTTTCTGAAAGGATGGTTGAATACTTCAAGGCGAGTCCTTACGCTTGTCAGCAAGCTTTGTCTGAAGTAGTTTTTGAATCCTGTCTTATATACTTTGAGAGCAYCCTCACCAGCCCCTACCGCTGGCCATCACCTGCTTAAACTACTTTGGAAGACTGATTCTAAATCTAATAGCTGTGTGGGCTATTTTTAAGCTTTTCAATATACTCCAAACACTCTACTCAAGGTCCTTCCTAAGATTATTAGCTTGAAACAAACGCCCACAACAGTCTCCCGATAGTCGGTCTTCCAAGTTTACCTTTTGAATTTATTAGATAAAATGCTATGTGCATTAAGCCAGGAGAGATAGCATTATTTGGCTTTCCTAGCGTGAATTAGAGAACTGGACGCCCCCTTATCGAGGAAGCTCTAATATCTATGWTTTTAATGCTAGGTTTTTAAGTTTCAAGGACTATTTTCAAAAGCTTCTATTGAATAAATCAAGCTTTGATTTTTGGATCGTGGCAATTGAGTTCCACTTCACTCTATTCCAAAAATAAACTTTAATATCACGTTAGAATTATTGCAAATGTAATATTCATTGTTTTTAATCTAAACAATTCGGCCTTATTCTTGTGTGTAAGAATAACTAATGTAGAATAGTTAAAATAAGTAATTCCAATTTATTTCGATAAAATGTCGTAAACATCGGAAGAGAAGTATGATTTTCCCCCCGAATGGTTGTTTTGGGAAAGAAAAATCTAGATTTGCAGTGTGTCTACCGAGTACTTGAAAGTATTGAAGTAAGAAACGAAGTTTATACCTTCTCCTTTAATTTTTTGTGCGCGCCGTGAAATTTACTAAAAAAAAAAAAATCGCCCAGGATAAAACGAACAGATATATATCCGCTACGAAACAGTGAGTCTCCTCGGGAAAAACTAAGCAAAAACGATGTAAAACTGTTGAACACCACCACGCAGGGTTACGTTTTACCAGTGTTACCAAAATTTGAATTCCCTGTGAACAATTAAACACTAAGAACCGATGTTAAATTGGTAAGCACCATGCAGTTTGCTAAAGGAATATGAAAATAAACAATGCTGGGAGAGAATATGAAGATATTGGGGCTCCCAATGTGTTCCAGACATTCTGACTTTGCAATAAGCTAAATTATGGCTCTTTTTCATGTCAAATTGGAAATAAGATTCTCGATTTGCTACTTTTGTCGTAAGGAAGAAACGTAGTCGAAGAAAGGAGATTGGAAACGATTTTATGATTTTTTTCAGAGGAATTGATTAATTTCTATTAACTTTTCTCTATTTTCTCTTTTTTTTTTTTTCTTTTTCTTTTTTTCTTTCTTTCTTTCTTTCTTTCTTTCTTTTTTCTTATTCTTCAAACTTGCATAATAAACTGAAATGTTTTGAACAATTTAGCCAATAACACTTTATTCATAAAAGTAAAAATATAAAAAATAAAAAGAGTTTAGCAGCGGCATTTCCACAGTCACTAAGAGTGGCTCTTCATCCACTGTAATTCCAATTGGAATTTAGAAGATTTGTTTTAATCCCCACACTGCCCGGTYGTATGTCCCGAATTGTGTCTACAAGTGTATGGTGTAGCGGGTTATGTCAAGACATTGTGGCAGTGATCATAAGATAAATATTGGATAATGGTGGGTGAAACGAGAGTCGAGGAGACGAGTGAACGATACACCGCGCTGTACTGACGGAAACGCTAAAACAGTCCAATCGGATTTTCTTATTTGGATTTGTTAGGATTATTTTCCCTCTCGTTCGGAATAACCCTCGCTGCTCAACGACAACGCTATTTCCAAGTTTATTAGTACAGGATCTTTTAATAATTGCCACCGAGAAAAAAGTCACGAAAAAAAAAAGCGGATTTGGTTTTCTTTTTTTAGCTTTTAGTTTTTGTTTTATGCATTTATAGATTAAACCTTCAAATTTTATTGGTAAGCTTTAGACTGCATCAAAGTCAGGGCAAGGCTAACTCACAGATTGAGCCCTGAAACAACCTCTGGGCTGATCTAAGTCAGGGCATGGCTAACTCACAGATTGAACCCTGAAACAAGCTCTGGGCTGATCTAAGTCAGGGCAAGGCTAACTCACAGATCAAACCCTGAAACGACCTCGGGGTTAATCTAAGTCATGGAACGGCTAACTTATGGAAATTGGAATTTAGCTTGTTGTGTTTTGCAGAGAGAAGAAAAACAGAGCTGGAGAAAAATCCTTGGATCAAGGGCCGAGACCGAACGAACTCTTCTCACATGTCATATATGCAGAGTCCAACAGTAGAATCCGAGAAAAATGAGGGGCGCCGGAATTTAAAACACCGGCCACCCTTCAATTCCACAGCACACTCACAGATTTTAGATAAGCATTTACTATAGCTGTTTTTTTTTTGTTTTTGTTTTTGTTTTTGTTTTTTTTTTGGCTTATTGCTTCGCAAATTGAAGAAGAATTTAATGGACGCACATCTGCATGACAATAGTTGCCTCTGTATCGCTAGCTATATATAGAATTTTCATTTACTAACTTAGAACATAATTAACTATGCTTTTAACGAGGCTGTTTTCTACAAAACTTCAGGGGAGGAAAACACGTCAAAAGCTAAAAATATATTTTGCAAATTTCTGTTGGTGAATAGTGTTTTGCCCGTTCTCCGACAAACCACTGTGTAAAAAATGGTCTTTTTGTGGTTTTTGGTAGCATAGGGTATCGTTTTTTTTTTTTTGGATATAGAAAACGATAACTGCATGCATGCCGGTAGGATAAAAAATTCAAGGAAGTTCTTGAAAAACATTCAAATAGTTTGATACTGATAAAGTAGAAGTATTGATAGTTTTTTGTTTTTTTCCAATTCAGTTGGAGATGTACAAATTATCCTCTCCACGATACGCCTCTGTATTCGACCTCCTATGATTACAGGAAGCTTTTTGCCACCGACAAAAAGCCTCAGAAATCCTTTCCTTTCCGATATCTCATGACGTTTTGTCTATCTATCTATCTGTGATTGTACGCGTCGAATTAATGGAGATTTAGCACGCTAAAAAAATACACTGATCAACTAATGCCCTCAATTCATAGCGTTAGAGATCAAGGCACTACATTGGCTAATTTTCATAGAACGAGAGGTACCACTTGATAAGAACTGTTTCAATACATTGTTTAATAAAGAGATCAAAATGACTGAGACGTCATTGAAAATGTGTCCGAACAGCAGGAAATATAAAGTTATATGTTTTTTCGTCTTTCGTTGRTCGATTCAGTCTGGCTTGAGTAAACAACTCGTTGACCGAAAGAGATCCACAGCCAACGCCAAACGTTTCGTTCTAGAAAACTGTTCTAAAATATTGTTATGACTGTTCATCTTCTAGAGCTTCATATTAGCTTTGAATGAAGCAATTAACTCTAATATAACAAAGAAAATGACTTCTTTAAGCGAATAATCCAGTTTATAGACCATGTTTTATTTCCTTAGCTAGTCACAACAACAACTTGCGACGCTCCTTAGTATCCGTTCTATTTACAGTCCTTTCGAAGACTYAGTAAAAGCGCTCAATGCTTTCTAACATAAATATCGCAATAATATTG